AAGTCGACATTCCTTTCTAGCTCAAGGAGAAATGATTGAATGCAGTCAGTGTTGTCTAGTGTGTGTTGCCTGAGTGTTCCAAAAAAACCTGCAGTTTGTTCAATTATTAAATCTACGGTGGACCTGGCCTATCTTAACACCAAACACGTAATTTGTATTTTGTCTATTTTTGCTTGTTTGTTTCTTAATTCTATAATATTTCCTCCCCCCCCCCACCCACTCCTTATTAAATCTCTACCCCTTATTACTACTGTTGTTAATTTGACTTTCGTCCAATTTTAATTTTAGTTGAGCTCTACTCAACCACGTCAATTAGATTACGTCACTCTCAACTTGTTTATTTAATCTTATTTTAGTTTCTAACCAATTAACGAAATTTGTTATCTAAAATTTACAATTCTGATGACACATCTATGGGAATATTCCTTTTGCTGCTAAAAACAATCTGGAATCACCCAACCTCTACTTTCACAATTTGTCAACTCTTGTATCTTACCTATTCTACTTTACTGCTCCCCGTTAGTCTTTCCTGGTCTACTGAAAAAGGACTATACCATACTGAGAAGGATTTTGAAGGTAGTTAGTAGGACTAGTGGTGTAAAACTCAGTCAGCTCGTCACTACATTAGTTGAAAGGCATCTGAATACATGCGAAAAATGGTCTAAAACCATACTCTCTGACCCCCAACACCCCCTCTATTCCCAACTCTCTCCTTGTATCTCATCAGGTAGAACCAGAAATCAGTACAAAATAATATATGCTCGTACAACCAAGTACAGGAACTCAACGATACCATACCTGGTCCGTGTTCTAAGTGACAGAGACAATGTTAAGCGCGAAACCTATGACTTGCTTTGTTGTCAATAACATAATTTTAGGCTCTTTTATTTCTATCTTATTTTGTATTCTATAGTAAACTCCTTCTTAAACATTCTTAGCTACCGAAATTATTAACATTGGCTTCCTTTTTTGTACTTTACTATATTCCTTCTTTTGTGTATCTACTGGTTTCGACTATATTAGTACTATGAGTATTACAAAATTGTCCTGTCATTAACCATCATGTAATTATCAGTTTTTGTGGTTATTGTTGTCTTTTTTGTTTGGCAATATTAACTGACAATCATTGGTTGTGAACCCAAATATCACCATCTTAAAATTTTGTATTATGCAGGATTACTCACACTACCACCACAAACACCGCATAAGAGCTGTCAATAAAAAACCCTGAAATGTTATTTTATGATTGTTTAGTGTTGTTCAATCAAATTAACTGATCACCTTGGCGATAAACATTCTTAAGTATCATTACATAACTTCTTGTATGGCTATAGCTTTACTGTCACCATGCATAAACATATCACAGCTTCCACCACCCAATACTGAGATATTATTTATTTATTTTCCTTTCTACTTCTTGGTATTTTTTTTCCCTATTTTTTATTATTTTTGTGTTTGTTTTTGTTGTTGTTGCCTTTATATTTATTTTTTTGAAATACTCCTTTTAAATGTTTGATAAAATTAGATGCAAATATTGTAGATATGTGCTGAAAATTCCACACTGTACCACTAGTACTGTTTCTGGAATAAAGCAAATTATTATTATTATTACTATTATTAAAACAATTCACTATATATATGCGATTGTACAGCTTGAGAATGATATCGCCAGAAAGAGTAAGTCTATGCTGAACGTCTTTTCTTTTTTATGATTCAGTAGGAATTTTAGTTCAATTTCCCAGAAGCAGTTTAAGGGGCTGAGTGTGTTTATCTTTGTTCACAAACTGTTCTGCTGTCGAATGCGCCAGCTACACTATGAACTTCATTAGTTATCATTACCCTAGTAAAATAAAGTGTGAAAGTGTGCAAAAGCACTTTTTGAAGTCTCATAAGAAATTCGAAATTGTGAATAGACTAAGTGTCTCTACTCTTCAATTTCTTTTGTTGAATGGTGGCAAGAACCGTCAGACAATAAAGATTGAAAGGCTTTCAATGTGTTTATCTAACTAAACGTGAGGAGAATTAGTCAGTCATGACGCTATTCCGTAGATAGGAAACTCAGTCAAACCCACCAGCGAAATTAAGTGTGAACAGTTATTATCAGGATTATTGCTGTTATTATTTGCATACAAGCTGTGGCTATAAATGCACATGAAATTCAAATGAAATCAACCCTCATGATTAATTAATAAAAATGAAATTAAAAGATTGCAAAACTGAACGTAAACGCCTCATCAACTACTACTGAATATCAACAACAACAACAATTTGGAAATTAGGACTCCCAATGTATTGCAGGTGAGGGAAGGGTGGCAGACAGACAATAGTAAACTGGCATTCAGTGTCTAGAAGTTTTGCAATACCTTATCAGATGAGAAAAGTGATATGTTGTGCAACACTGTAAGCAAGCAAACGTTTGCTGATAATTCAGTATAAAAGTTCAAATAAAGGTTTATTCCGGGGCAGATTTTAGAATTCTGTGCATTCTTGTCTTTAGTAAGATATCGGTCTAGGGATTTTCGTAATTAGAAGTAATCTTCACGGTTAGAAAATAACACAACAAGCATCAAACTATTTCCTACTCCTAGTTTTGAAATTTAGGCATTTATACTGTCTCATAAATTGCGAAAATATATATTGACAGATGTGAATTGTATCTTCTAATGAGAAGTGATTTGCTATGTTCCCCTTTACCTGGGTGTTTGACAGAAAATATAGTGAAGTGACTGGCCACTTTATTTCGTTATTTGCAATATCACCAATGATATTCCTAATTGTGGTGGACTGGATTATGCGTCAGACAGTGGGAAACGAGAAGACAGGGATAGCCTGGACCGACGTGAAGAACCTAGAAGACCTGGATTTCGCGTGTGGATGATTTATGTTTGATGTCACACAAAATCGAAGACTTACAAGCGAAAACCGACAAACTGGTGGAAGAAGCAGCCAGAGAAGACAGGACTCCAGGTGAACATAGACAAGACGGAGGTTACAAAAATAACCAACCAACCAACAACAACAACAATAGCAGCAACATCCAGCGCTAATCACCATCAACGGGAGGGATTTGAAAGAGGTTACTTCTTTCACTTATCTGGGGAGCATTGTCTCAACTACAGGAGGAACGGATGGACGAGGATGTCAAATCGAGAATCGAGAAGGCGAGAAACACATTCATCAACCTGAAACCAATCTGGAAATCTTCGTCACTCAGCCTGTATCAACAACAAAATGATTCGGATTTTCAATACAAATGTCAAGTCAGTCAGTTCTTCTATACGGATGGATCAGAAACTTCGCCAGTGGGTCACAAAGAATATTTCCAACAAGTTGCACACCTTTATCAACAACAACTGTCTTCGCTCGATACTGAAGATCAGATGGCGGGAAACAATCACCAACAAGAAACTATGGGAACAAACAAACGAAACAAAAACCAGTCGCTCAACAAATATGCAGGAGAAAGTGGAGATGGACTGGACACTCTCTGAGGAGGCCACTGGGTGACATCACGCGTCAGGCCATCGCTCGAGTGGAACCCGAAAGGGAAGCGGCGAGTGGGACGTCAGTGCAAGGGTGACATGGAGGAGATCGTGTGAAGAAGAGTTGAAACAGTATGGGCGAACATGGATGCAAGTGAAAAGTACAGCAGAAGACAGAAGCAAGTGGAGGCGTGCAGTTGAAGCCCTATGTTCTAATAGGAACCCAAGGGAACAATTATAATAATATCTGATGTTACTGTTGATTACTGGAGCTTCAGAACACCTTTTGTGATGTGTGGCCGTGTTCGAATATGACGCACTTCAAAATTATCCCTAGATTAAACATCCTACTCGGTGTTAGTGTGGCTAGAATACCCAGAAGTTAACACGGTATCAGTTTCTCTTGATTTTATGAATATGCTTTTATGCTGACAATTTTTAACAGACTACTTTCGATGTGTATATCTATTAACAGGTGAACAGAAAATACCTGTGCCGTGTGCTGAGATATATCCTTGGCTACCTCACTTTGTAATGCACTTGGTATATAAGAAGGTCATAATAATCTACTCCTCCATTCTCTTATAAAAAGACTCATAAACTCATGTGGGGAGCAGTTACTTGCGTCCAAAATAAAATTCTAAGATACGCTGAATGCTGCTCTTAAGAGTACTTTTTTAAAAGCATTTTTAAATCTTCTCGTTTCACAGTCAAATTTATGGTAATACTGATAAGGATATGCAGCTAGTAAAAGTAGCACTATTAATTATCACTTAATTTTCTGGGTTTACATGAGATGGTAATAGAATAAGACTCTTTCAGCCGACTGCCTTAACACATTTTATCAGTTTATTGTCACAATGCCCAATTATTTCTTTAGTGTCTTTCTGAGCTTACCTACTTACTTTTCAAGTGCCAGTTTGCAAGGGTTTGATTAACTCCAGCTTCTATCACTAACTGATTTCTTTTAGAGAACCACTGAAAGCCGGGGAGAAGTGGACAGCTATTTCGTTCTTGTTTGGGACTCTTTAACAGTACGCGCCCATCGCCTCACCAGGAATCGAGCCCAGAACATTCAGTTACTACGACGGAATCACACTAACTTATCCATCTCAAAACTGAATGTTCTATAGTTATGAAAGTGCATCGTTATTTTTCTTTTTATTATTTAAGTCAATCAGATCTATTTTGAATTCGACTTTTGTGATAAACATTCAAATTCAGCAAGTGGACACAGACGTCACGTGATATACGATAAGCCTTAGTTCTTCTTACATTTCAGTAAGGCATTTAAGAAATTATTTGTTTAAATCATACGTTAAATAGTACTAATAAGTTGTGCTTACCAAAGATTAATTCTAGTAAGCTGAGAAATCACTGGGATGATTAAAACATAAAAATAGCCCAATCTTGTATCCACCAATCAAAAGTGTTGTACAGGGAATATTTTTATTGGATAAACCAGTCCAGTAGTCGGTATTTAAATGAATAAAAGCCCAGAATATTTTCTTTGAGAGAAGCAAAACACATGTAAAAGGCTGTAAGAAGTAATGCCTTGCATACTTTAATATTTCTTTTTCTTTCCAATATCTCTATTTCATACTTAAAATATAAAAAAATGCGTTCACAGATGAACACTGCGAATAAAGTGCCTGGTTTACAGTTGCACAGAGTTATACGATTAGGCGATAAGACTAATAATCAAGTCTTCACATTCATTGTACCCTCTCAGCTAACAAAAGGATTTTTACAGAATGTTCAGTCAAAAGAATTTCACTATGGTGGTCATCGATGGTTTATTCGTATGGAGTATTATACAGAACCTAGTGAATGTGGGAGTGGAAAAGAAGATTCCCATTTTATACAGTATCGTAAACAACCTCTGGGTGTTTCTATTCACCTGTGTAGCATTTCAAGTGGAATGACATGCCGACTAAAAAGTGTCAAATTCACTATTCCCCATCAGGAATGTTACATGCAAAATTTAATCCACGAATCAGAAGATGTACACTTCAGATGTTCCAGTGTTTCATACAAAGTATCCACATGGATTGAAAGTGGCCTGCTGACTAATGAACACTACTTATTTGATGACTCGACATGCATATTAGAAGTGGAATTACAAGACGCTGTGACAACTTATGAGGAACTATTACGTGTACCGAGAGATTCAAAGGAAGCAGTACGGTGTAGGTCACTTGAGTCAACAACATTTCCTTTCGCTGGAGATGACTGGAGTTTCATCGTTGATTGGAGTACTCCACAGGATAAGTCACGAGGGCATAATAATAAAGATGACAGCAGGCCTAAATTCTACATACAAAGGCATAGCTCCCCAAAACACTGGACACGATTAAAATATGAACTTGCAGTGAGTTGGCATGATTATGGAACATCTCGCTTAGGACCATTTGATCAACTGATAAATCCTGAGAGTGGAGCCACAACAAAAGCTTATACCTTCGGAGATTCAAAATGGTTTTCTAATAGCTCTGCGCCTGTTATAACTTCAAAACACAGAATAAGTGTTAAAATTGATTTTCATTCTGTAGTTCATATCAGCCGAGTAGACCTCATACCAACATCACCTCAAGGTGGCAGAAATTGTGCACGAGTTGTCGATCCCAGTGGTGTAGACTGGATCATAATGAGTGATATTCTAGGCACATATGTACGTCTTAAGTTGTTTCTACCAAATGAATCTAATGCAAAACACAACGAGAATGACTCAAATATGGAAGTAAGATCAACTGCATGGTCAGTACAACTGATACCTTATGAGTCATCATTGAATATTGTAAAGTCCATGAGTTCATTTTATGTTATTTACACACCAATAAATATCAGTGGGCAAATAACAACAGCAAACAGTACAAAATCACCCTGTCAAGAGGTCGTATTACCCTTAGATGTTGAAAAAGTGAGTCATGTTGTTTACTTTGATGATTATTTATTTTTAAAAAATGTGCACTTGTTCATTTTCAATAAATTTTATTTAGTTAGAGTTGGTCCTTTACATAAGATTTTATATATCTTATTTGAGAAAAACAAAACCTTTTATAAATATTTAGATTTTACTTTAAGATAACGTCACAAAAACGAAATTACCCGAATTTCCATTTAGACGATTAAATGGGTGGAATGGGAATTTTAGTATGCAGAGATTTGTATTTCCTTGTCAGTTGGTAATGTGCCATGTCTACTGTACAAAGACCAATAACACTTCTAGTTAGGTAAGCCCAAACTCATTAGGTGGGGCAGGATTTGGACTCATCACTCAATCATCCAAATCTTCACCAATGATGAGTAAACTGAATAAGAATAGGCTAAACTGTTCGACCTCTTATTCTACCCAGGACAAAATTTCAACACACTTTAGTAAATGCCAAGTCAATAGCGGAACAATTGCTAAAAAAAATCTTAAGCACTGGGAATTAATTTAAAAAAGTATCGATTCAATAAATTAGAAGGCTTCTGCTAAATAATTAACTTTTTACAAGATTACGTATACATGAAACAATAAATAATAATTATGGATAGTTCATCTTATTATCCCCTGGAATAACCCTTCCACTCATTGAGTATACATACATATCAAGCGTGGAAAAGCAGTATGCGTATGCGTATGCATGATTGCTTTCCGGAGGGATTTATCTTTTTCTTTTATGTAAAGGAGAATTGACAGATGATTGGAATCCTGAACATGCAGATAGACAGATGTGAATGACAATTGGAAAAGCAACACCGATAAACACGTAGAAAAAAAGAAGAAGGAAATATATTGCGTGAATATACTCATTATAAAACGTAAATCCACCGGTGTCATTTGCTACAGATAAGATAAAGTAAGTAAAGCCTCATTATATGTAGCAAATATAAAGTGATAAGGTCTCATTCGAATGTGACAACCAAACGTCCTTCATGTGCTTTGTTAGAAACATTATGGATTGTCAAACTGTGGGAAGTTTGTGTCTCTTCACCAACCAGCCTATGTTGCTTATTCAATGGCTTTATCACTTATCTTGAGTCAAAGAACTTAATTACGCCACTGACGTTGATAATAAATCTATCAAAATACGAAACTTACTAAAGTTTTCCACGATATTATGCATTTATTCTAAGGAATCAAAAAAGGTATTCTTTAGATTTTTATGCTCAAATAATAAAGAAGACAAAGCAATAAGTCCAACTAAACTGTAATCCTAAACATCATAATTTTGAAAATACGTCTAATCATAAAATTCTAGATACTAACAGTTTGAACAGACATGAAGGCGTGATCTTGTTAGCTGATGCATAGGAAATCCTTATTAATAAATAAAAATGGATATGTATCACTAATTATTAATACTTGGTCAAAATTCTCGACTGTCCATATCTTCTTATGGAGACGTTAAGAAATGTTTTACAGCTGTTTACCCACACACACAAATACACACTCTGTTTAAAGTGTTTAACAAAGATAGACCAATATTTGTAAGTCCGAGGTCAAATTCTGATCACAGCTCATAGAATTTTGTTTATTATACTTGTTGAATGACTCATGATTGGACAAAGTTTATAAAAACAAGTGATGTTCCTTCTATATATAAACTTCTGTTATGTTAATTTCGATTAATTTCCCTGAAGAAGTTCGGACCAGATTGCCGAACGAAAAGTGGGAAATACTCATTTCAATCTCGCTGAGATTTTACAAATACTGTTTATGCTTACGTGTTCGCGAAACACGCGTTTATGAGACACTAAACTGAACAAGAAGCGAATTGACAGAAGTTAAAATTTGACAACCCATTGAGTCGGATCCCAGTGGCTGAATGGTCTACGATCTAGCCTTCTAACTTACTTAAAAGTCCTCTGCTCGAAACTTGGTGGGTACGTACCGCCGATGAGTCCCATACTAGACTGACGAAACAGCTGCTTAATACACCTTATGCGTTTTCCAATGGTTCTCTAACAGATGAAACTTCAAACAGGTCAAATCTCTGCAGACAAACTCTTGAAAAACTTAACCGTTATGTAAGCCTCAAGTGAAGAAGTTCTAACTTTTACTAAGTCATTTAGTAGCAAACGTTCTATATGGTATAAAAATATCCCTCAGTCTATAATTTTGAAAAGGAAAGTATGATAAAGGATGTTAATTTATTTTACTATCATATACCATGAGACAGAGGCGAATAACCTTGCTACAAAGTGGAACACAACAAAGCTATTTTTCTTATAGATGAAAGAATAAATAAATAATATCTAAAGTAACATTTTGAATGCCTTATCACGATTCAAAATTTGACATAAAGTGTGTTATCGAACCATTGAATACGTGTGTTTTAGTTCTACTGCCGGTAACAATGAATTTGAGCGAAAGGTTTTGATACTATGCAATACTGTGCATCATCTAAATAATTAGCGCCAAAGGAAAGACTTTTTAGAGATTTCTTTTTAAAAAGGAGAGAGATTTCTGGTATGCCCGGTAATGAGACTTAGAAGATTGGAAGCAAAATACAAAACTAACACTCTGAGAGAACTAGCCTAAATACCAGTTATCATTTCAACCACTATCATATGAAAATACCACAGGGAAACGAAAACAAGAAGAGTAGATTTCTTGAAGGACAGCCTCTGTCTTCTCAAACAACTCTTAAAAAACACATAGAACAGACGCGTTGATAATTATATACTTTAAATAACTTAGGTTAACATTGAACCCGCTAATTAGTTTAAAGAGAGATACATAACTACCTCTATGGTCGTTTATATTCAAAAACTTGTTTTTTATTCCGCTTTTCATTTAGATAAAGTGTGAATGTAACTGGAATTAAATGTCAAGAATTAATTATTAAACTGAATATGTAAACCAAACAGATAATAATAGTAATCATAACGTTTGCTAAAAAAACAAAAACTTCAAAGAAGTTCACTAGCGCAACCACATGGCAAATGTACGTTTTGAGATAATTAATTAATAAGCAAAATTAATGTCACCCTTTCGTAGTGATAGTCACATAGACTTCCCTGTACACATGTTTCATTTTCATTTTCAAACATCATCATAAACAGGATGAAATTGATAATGGTAGATGGATTTTGACAGCCAACATCAGTTGTGAATAACTCCGTGTATTTATTAGCAAGCCTTGTACATTTTCGATGAATGTGATTATAATTTCTTATGTTTGTTTATTCTGTAAGGCACAAAATTAGAGATACAGTATTACTTAGCTGTAAGTCAACTGGGAAATCCCCAGTACAGATTGAAACCAAAAGACTTTCGACGTGGAAGTCACATTAAAGTAGACACGTCTGTCACAGATGTTGCATTCTTTTATTGCCTAAGTTCACGATTAAGTGTTATTTATTGCAAGGCTAAAAGCCATAATGAAAAAACACAATGTTAAATAGCAAACTTTTGAAAGTTCTTTTAGCACCAGTCTTGTAGAGAATTTCAGCATCTGTATATGACACTGTATTATTCACAGAACGACTGCGCACACATTACATAATGCAGCACGATTCGGAGGTTACAAACAGTGAATTAAACCTTTCAGAAGTTCAAATATGCATGTATCGCTTGAATTTTGATTATTTATCTCTATAGGCGATGAACTGTTGTAGAGATGTCAAATTCTAAAGTTTTGGATGCTATGACCAAAACCCATTGAATGGCTTACTGAGCTTGAGAATTTATGTATTCCGTGCAGTTCTGCTTACGTGAATAAATCCTACATTAGACTGACTCTGTTGTCTTTTATCTAACCAATTTGAAGAGCACTCAACAGGATTTCATTGTACCCTGTTACTTGTGAAGCATCACCTTTATTATTATTCCCTTTGGTTCCGAGTAGAACATATGGTTTCAATAGCACACCTCGATTTCGGTGTTTTTCACCTTAATGAGAACAAAACACGCAGATCAGCGAAAAGTCTCTTTTCGGCGAATCCATTTTCTTAGCTGTACAATCGCAAATATATATTGTGTTATTTTGCATGTTTGTGTACATTAAGTTTATCAAACAAAACAAAAATACAATTGGTTATGGTTATGTTAACTAAACGGGTGAAGATTGGTAATTGGAGTTACGTAATACAAAATCAGTCAAGAAAATTAGGTGTTAGTGAAATTAGGGTAGTAACAAAGGTGACGAGTTGTCACAAGCAGTTATTAAAAAGAAGTTATGTAATAATATGAATAGTTTGATGAGTGAATTTTACTCAGGATGCACATAGGAACAAAGTAGATAATACGAAATTACGTAAGAGTTCTAAATGAACACAAGAATTATAAGCAATTAAAGAACAGGCAAAGAAACAATATTAAGGCATCAAAATCAAAAAATCAAATCAAATCAAAAAAGTTGTTACCAAGACAGTAGAAGTGGTTGAGTAATCCTCTTTTATATTCACAGCTCCGGTTTTTCTATGTCAATGGCAAGAGCTTCAGCGATACAAAGAAGGCGAAACTGTATTGCCTTTGATAGGCTATTCTTGACTCTGTAGATTACTTTGAAGGAGGCGTTTGTTAAGATGGAATGATCAGTGTTAACCAGATGTTCAATTATCGCACTCCTTATTGCACCACTATTGCCTTTTCGCAACCATGCTGGACAGTGTTCTTGAATCCTCTTGGACAGGGTGCACGTCGAACGACCGATGTACCTGGCTCCACAGCAGCAGGTGGACTGATATATGCACATAGAAGTGGTCAGATGCGGGATCTTGTCCTTGAGGCTCCTGCAGATCAGTGGACGACTGGAGAACACTTTTCTTAGCATGGCTGCAAAGAATGTTCTTCTCAGAGATGATGTGATCCTTCTCCTTCACCTTACAAGATCTCTTCTACGTCATCCTCAGATGCCTAGCTCATTGTTTCCCATTCGTGTTCAACTCCAGAGATGGCCTGGCATGCAATTTTACTCAATGGTCTCC